GAAACTTCTTGGGATGATTTCCTGAAATTCCAGGAATTTTTTGATCTATCAAAAAAAACCTCTTAGACAAAAGCCTGACGGAATCCAGGCAGGATTCTGATTACCTACTCGAGTATTTCAAGCCGAAAAATCATAAAATAATGAAATCCACAAAGACCCACCTACCCTCCTTATCCAAATCCACACATATGTTTTGTTCTTCTTCTTCTTCTCTCCTTAAACAGAGAAACGAAACCAAAAAAGCATAGAGAAAAGGGGCAAGGAAAAGTGGGTGGAGTGGCAGTTTTGGCGAGTGACAGGTCCGATTCGCTCCGCCTACCGTATACCCGAAGCTAGATGGGAAGAGACACAGAGAAAGAGGTATGAGTAGGAGGAGAATGAAGGAGGAGGATGAGGATGGATATCTGGGGAGGGAAGAATCAGAATATTTGAGTATGACTCCTACCAAAAAGGTATTGAAAGTTGCTCGAGTATGCACAAATTGGTTGGTGATGAAGGGAAGGGGATCATAAGAAGAAGAAGAATAAAAAGACGAAAAAGAAAGACAATGACGAATAGATATTGCGTATTATTCTGAATTCTGAATCTTCTAGAATTCTGGATTTATGAGACAAATTTTGAGGAGAAGATTCAATGAATTCTGAATTTGCTTGTGCTCACTGCACTTTCTTCTTTTTGTTAGGTTTCCTGCCACCGGATTTTCAGGATTTTTGGGATTTTGAATTGGAGCATAAGGCTGAAAGAGGGGTGACGGGTGCGCTCAAAATGCACTGAGGGCCTTTTTCTGAAAATGAGCGTTAGGACATCATTCCTATTGATTCAGAAGTCATAGAAACTCAAGGTTTGGCGGGAATTCAAGTTTGAAGTTTTTTTGAAGTCCCATGTTGTAAAATTGGTGGGAATTAAAATTTCTAGATTTTGGGTTTTCGAGGTTCGGAAATGCAAATTTCAGATTCCTCATGAATCAGCTAGAAGCTTGATTCAATACTACTGGAGTTCAAGGTTTCAGATTTAGCGGGAATTCAGAAATTCGAAAATAGAGGGGATTCGAATAATTCGGTTTTTTTTTGAAATTGAACATAAAAGTTTTGGCGGGAATTCCAACTTGGATTTTTTGAAGATTCAGATTCTAAGATTGGCTGTAATTCAATAATTCACGAATTTTTCTTATCGTGGTTTCCTACAATTTCGGATCCCATATTCTTTGATTCCGGAGCTTCCGAAAATCTGGGTTTGGCGGGAATTCGAATTTTCAGTTCTCGCCTTTCTAGAGATCTGACTGCATACATCACATCTTACAGTAAATATTCCTTGCACCCTAACACTTTGCACCCCGGTCACCTTCAACAAAAGTTGTTCAGGTCTCTGGAATCCCAATCATCCTCACCATCTATTTATTCACAAATCAGATTGTATGATTTGCGTATAAAAGACAAAAAACACCACAAAAGTTATGCTTCTTCTTCCTCTCCTTCTTCATTATCATTGCCCTTCTTCCTTTTCTGTCACTGATAGGCATTTACCCTGACTGGAAACCAAAAAAAAAAGGAGAATGCAGGCTTCTTTTTCTTCTCTGGAAACCAGTTCGACACGGTTGCGTAACTGATAAACTGATAAGGATATCAGGGTGTCTATTGTAGGAGGACAAATAACAAGTACTGGTAACCGCTTCTCTCCTCTCCTTCTCTCTCTTAGTTTATGGTTTTGGTAATTTGGGGAGAGGAGGGGAAGGAACAACTGTTCATAAGGAAATGAAGAAAAGGGGTTCTACTTGGGTGGTATTGGAAAAAGTAAAAATAATTTGGAGTTGAAGGGGTTCGAACTCGGGATGAAAATTTTGAAAACGGGAGCGCTAACCGCTACGCCACGGGTGGCAAAAAAGGGCGATTTTTTTGAAGCCGTGCTCCACTCGGTATAAAAAAAAGGCATCAAACTCTAGCAAAATCGGACCAAAGCTAGCCTATAAGGACGAACGTACAGAAAACCAACTTCAACTAGAATAATAGGATAAGATATTTATAACACAAGTTGTCCTTGCGCCTGCGGCGCACTTGCAGACCCAGCTTCTTCGGCAAATTGGATAGCTGACTTTGTCAAAATTGATAACACAAAAATATCCAAATTGAAGAAACTCAATAATCTAGGTAACTTCTAGCTTTCAAGCGTGCCTGTCTGAGGAACAGGAGAACAAGCAGGAGAGAGAACAGGAGTCGAGAGCCTAAAGCTGTCCCAAATTCTGAAAATCCTACATTTGAAAAATTGGTGTCAATTCTGGCGCCAAGTACGCAAACACCTTGGATGTGGCGGCAGAGGCAGAGAAATGAGCACGAATACGCAAGTTACCGTAAAATGTCATGTAAACAGTCAGTTTATGAAATTTCAAAGTAGAAAAAAAACGATTGTTATCTTCGAGTATGGATTTAGGTTAACACACCTTCCTTATTTTGTTTTACTCAATATCAAAGCTGTACAAACTGGGCCAGCTCTTCCACAAAGAACGGCTAGGGCACGGCTTTTTCAAATTCCATGGTCTGGTTCTGAGAAATCTGAACTACTTTTGCAAACTATTAAGGCGGAGTGCGCAAAAAGTTAGTTGAGTTAGAGCTCATCGAACCTGTTTGAGCCTGGACTCTAGCCGTAATAAATATGGTCAATATGATTTCTTGCTGTCCGCCACCTAAGAACCTATGAATTTCGGATTTTCTGGCGGCAAACGGAAGGATTTACCTAACAAAACTGCTCCTTTGGAAACCATCAAAAGTGTCTAGTCACCTACTGAGTGCCACTCTTCTGGTGATAGGCATCCCCATCTCCAAGCCTTCTAAAAGTTCTAAAAATCAAAATGAGTAATAACTATGTATTTTAAAAACTCAATCTCTCTCTAACCAACTTGAGTTGAAATGCAAATGGCAGCCCCAGTCGTGTCAATAACCTCATCTCCCTTCCCTCCGTCCCTTCTCTCCCTATCTTCTTCTTTAACCACTAATGCCTAAACATCCTGTCATATTCATCAACCTCTTCTCCTCCTCCTTATCCTCCTTCTTCTTTTCTAACCGATGTCTATTTACCATTTGGAATAACCCCTTTAACTTCTCCCCCCAGGTAACATTAATCGGAAGTGCACCATTTCCGGTTCTTCATACTCACTTAACACATTTAGGAGATAGATAGAGGAGCATTTGGAATGGATTGACTACTGGTCACCTAATCGAGAATCTTGGATTTTTAGTATTTTCGAGAGAAATCGTTGGGTTTTCATATGGAAGGTGAAGGGGGTGGAAAATATTCTTATACGGATTTTTGTGTATTTTCAAGAAAAGCCCGACCCGAGTGAACCGAAATCAAAAAAAATATCAAGTCAACTTTTTGAAGAAGAAATTTGAAAGTTGAAATTGCCTAGTTATCAACAAAACAGTAAAACCAACAGCTTTGAATCTAAAAAAGTACAAAAATGACCCTAACTAAATGATTTATCATGAATCCGAGCTCATCGGGCCGAGTCAGATGCTGGACAAATCTGAGTTTGGGAGAATATAACAGAAAAGGGATACTTTTTAAATGTGGGTAAGGCCCATCAAAGCCCAGGCTGGACTCGCTAAGGCCCAGGACGGGTCTAACAGGTATTTTCAACCGCCGTCCGTCATCTAAGGCACGCCTTTTCTGTAAAACTGCGGGAATTGCAAAAAGTTACTAGAACGGGCCTATCAGGTCGAGTCGGATGCTGGCAAAATCTGGCCTGAGTTTGGGTGAACATAATGGATAAGACATACTTGGGAAATTTGAGTAGAGCTTAACAAGGCCTAGCACGGGCTTACTAAGGCTCAGCCCGGGCTCGTTAAAGCTCAGGACGGACCTAGCAGGGATTTCCAAGACCCGGCCGGCCCGCGGTCTTCAAAATACTTTTAACATTCAAACAAAACAGGCAATAATCAGTCTTTTTTCGAGTTATTCGAATTTCGCGGTCCGGAAGGGGGGGGGGGGGCTTAGAGCCGGGCCAGGTTTTCGAAATTCCTGAAAACCCCGTCTTGATCTATCACAAATAGGGTTTACTGATTCTTAGGTCGAGGGGTGATCGGAAGTAACTTGTTGGACCCAACATTTCGAAACTAGAAATCAGAGGTAAGTGACCTAGCTTTCACGAAAAAATTGGGATTCTAGGTCATCACGTTTCATTGCACGTTTCATTTTTTGAAAATATTCGAAAGTACAAAATCAGGGCCGCCTAAAATCCGAAAAGCCATGGGGTTTCTGAGTTCTATGCCCCCAAATCCTAAAACCTTGTGATTACGGTACCTGCTCACCCCGCCCCCATCTCTCCCCCTCCTCTCCCCCCAAGACATCTCAAAACTGGAGTAAGATTGACAAAAAACGGAAAAACAGGTCAGTGGCACCCTTTCGATTGACTGATGACTGACTCGTCGCCCCCTTCGAAATGGTTTGATGGTGTAATTGGGCGTGGTGGGGGGATTTTAAAGAAAAGGAGCCAGAACAAGAAAGGGAAGGGGTGAGAAGTAAATTAAGATGTTTGGCAGGGAATGGAAGAAGGGAGGAGGGAGGAGAGGGAGGGGATTGAGTGCAGGAAAAGAAGAAGCCACGCAATCGGAAGTTGTTTATAATTGATTGGCAAGTTAGATAACTCTAAGGAGTGTATAGTTTTAAGGGGGCTACTACTACTATTAGTGTAATTAGTTTTTTTTTTGGGGCAGGCTCCAGGAATATTGTACTAGGGCGTTGATTTTCGATTATGTGGTATGGAAGAGCGCTTGGTAGGGTTTGGAATCTAAAGCCTGGAATACTGTTAGAATAGGTGGCTCCACTAAAATAATTTCGCGGATTTAGAAGGTCCAATGGATAGCTTCCAGTATTTCTACCGGTTCGTACACCCAAATTCCTAAATTCTTAATTGTCACAAACCAACCGCTGTTCTAGGCCTTTGTTATACACAAAAATATCGGTATAGACCAAACTACGAAATGAGAAAAAGAAAAAAAAAGAAAATTTGACCCGATGGGGTTCGAACCCGCGTCTAAAATTTCAAAAACAACAGTGCTATCCACTGCGCCGCGTGTGCAACAGTATTAAAGCAGAAAGAGGGCATAGACAATGTTTTGGCTTTTTCTCCTCTCTCGGAGCGGTACAGGACATAGGATTACAGAACCCAAAATTAGATAATGAAAAAAAAATCAAATCCGAAGAAAAAATCAGAATAATGAGAATTTCATGGTAAAGATTGGTGCTGATTCAGAAAAGATCCATAACTCACGAAATCAAAAAAGTACTTCTTGACTGCTCAACCGTTTCTTCTTCTTCTTCCAAAAAGAGAACCTTTCCCTGAAAAAACTCGATTACAAAAATATTGTAAAATTGGAAAGAAATGAGAGGGGAAAAGCAACGGGTGGTATACCTTTTTGATAGAAAATCGAAAGAGAGTGAGGGGAAATTGGAAAAGGCTCTTTTCGACCTATTCAACTCTTTTTTGGTATTCAGAGAGGAGTGATTGATTTTTGAATGCGGTGAAAATAAAATTGGAAAGGTATATTCAATGAAAAGTTGGAGAGGGTGATGACTTTTTGGAGATTGGAGGTTTTGTGAAAATTGAAAAATTCTAAAAATTGAAAAAAAGGTCTGCATAGTGGTTTGGAAATCCGAGCGAAAAAAAAATTAGTGACTATTTTAGTCAAAATCGTCTGAAATTCAGTCAGAAGTTGGTAATTTTTAGTGCGAAGTCGGTCCTCAAATTCAAAAACCTTGAGCTAAAATTTACCCTTTTCATGCACAAAATCTGAACATTTCCAGTCAAAATCAGACAATTTTTTGGTTAAATTCAATACATTTTGGGCAGAAATTGGTCAATTTCAGCCGCTAACAAAAGGTTCGAGTGCCACTCTATTAGAGGTTTTATATTAATTATCATTTTTTTTTAAATGGGACCAAGTTGCTCAGAAAGTGCTGGTAAAAAAATTTTTTACGAAATCGAAAAAAAAATGTTTTCGGCACGTAGAGTCCCGGATTAAACAATTTTTTTCGGAAGTTTTTGATTTTTTTCACTGAAAGCTCATCAAAATCCCAATTTTTCATACAATTCAGAGCTGTCGAAAAGGCCGAAAAAAGCCGAGGCCGTTTTTATATCTCGCTTCCTAGCGGTGGGATTTTTTCGATGTAAGAGGCGGCCTTGTAGAGCATAAAAAGTTATGCATTTTGGTGAAAGGGCGGCCGGATTGAGTTATCCGCGGCCGACTTATAGCAAAAAGCCGAGGGCCGCGGCCGGCCGCGGCCGCGATTTTGACAGCCTTGATACAATTAGGAGTATTATTTTAGAACCGAACTCAAGCGTTGAGCACGAAATAGACGAAAACTTGGGCTCGGAAAAAAATTTTTTTTTTTGGATGTTTCTGATTTTTTTCTTGCTGAAAACTCATCAAAGTCCTAAATTTTCACAAGACTCAAACTCTTATTCTAAAGCTGAATTCAAGCCTTGAGCACAGAATTCGGCATAAACTCAATGTTTTTTTTTTGGAATTCAGGCTTCATCAACTCAGCCGATCCGCTCCAAAAACGCCTAAAATTGTTGAAAACCCCACTAAATATCAGAATCTTTTCCTACATGATTCCTAGCCTATACCGCTCTGAAAAATGAGCACATCCTACACAAAAACTCTCCCCTAAACCCCAAAACCCGAAAACACAAGAAAAAAGAAAAAATGCTCGAAATTAAAGACCGGAGCCAACAAAAATCACTCCCAACCCCCAAAAACTGAAGAAAAAAGAAAAAGAAAACTTAAAATAATGAGCCTGTGCCCACGAAAACTCTCTCCAAACCTCAAACCCAAAACGGTTCAAAACCCATCCTAAAATGAAACTATACAATCTTCTCTCCCTCCCAAACTTCGACCTAAACATATACACACAAGGAGGTGAGAGACATTTCGTACCTTAAGTTTAGTAGTACTATCACTATCTCGCTTAGTAAACGGGGTAGGGGGATGACACATGTGGTATATAAACATATATATGTCCTCTTCTTCTTACTTGTGAGGTGGTGGTTGCTTGAAAAAGGGAACCCCCACTCTCTTCATTTTTTGATAACCTTTTCTCTATTCTTTCCCTCCTTAACAAATACCCTCAATTCAGGTCAATAGTTTCTCAATTGCCACGTCATAAAACCTAGAAAATTGGAGGAGAAACCGACTAGAGGAGAAAGTTTTGATTGAAGGTTTTCCCTCAAAGAACAACTAATATTAATCCTGATTTCGGGTGCCAAGACGTTTTTTGGGGGTGCCCTCCCTCCTCCTCCGAAAATCTTGCTAATTGCTCTTGTACCGTTTTTAGAGGCAAAGGAAACACTCATTATAGGGTATTGTGAGTCGATGAAGAAAACGGAAAAGGGATTTGAAGGGAGGGAGAGAGAGAGGGGGAAATAAGAAAGTGACAAAGAAATTGAAAGGTGACACATTTGGAAGTGGAAGAAGAACAAGATGTCTGGAGAATTGGAGTAGAGGGATAAGGAGCTTTTGGTAGATGGGGGTTAGGTAATATCCTTAATTGAAGAGCACGGCAGTTGATTTTGTAAGCAAACAGAGGCTAAAAAATGGTTCGGATAGAGTGAGTTTGATGAAAATCCTTCGAAAGAGTTTGCAACTCAGTTTTTAGAAGAACTAAACATTTAAAAAAAATCTCGCTGGGTTGGGCTCAAACTTGAGTGCCAAAACGGCTCACAGATCGGCGGCCGACATTGTAACCCACTGCGCCACATGAAAAAATAGCGTGACAGAGCGTAGAGGAGTCGGTAACGAGTTTGATGCTCTTCTTACAGACTGACCCTGGACTTGAATCCAACAGAGATAATTAGCGTCAGGATTTCTTGGAGCTTCGCTTATGATAGAACTGCGGTCAGTCGGAAGTTGAGTGCCGTTCTATCAGAGGACTTCTCAGAATAGAAAAAAAAATGATAATGTAGCACAGCCAATCAAAGAAATAGTTACGAAATATATAGGTCCAGGTCAAAAATATGGATAACCACCTGAATCTCTATCATAAGAACATGATTGCATTTTTACAATTCTCAAGTTATTTATGTTTCAAAAAAAAATTATCTATTAAAGCTTTGAAGAATGAAAAAGAGGAAATCCAAAGGCTAAAATCATAATTTGAATTTTATGATGGAACTGAGAAATTTAATTTTCAAGATAATAAATCTCGGTGCCTAAATTTTTTTGATTCTCAGAAAAACTAGAATACATCAGAATTTAATCATGATTAACGATCATCAACATTTTCGGTTTGTTTCATTTTGAAAACTTTTCCCTAGTTTGATACCTTTTCCCCCTTTCTAAACTATCTAAGCCGTCAAATGAGTCACTTAGGTACACTATTCCCAATATGTGTGTTCGGATGAAATAGATAGAGAGTGAGGAAGGAAGTGAGTGATACCGAATTCATACTTTACAAGAGTAAGAGAGAGGGAAAACAATAATATATGCAAAGTCCTAAACTGAGTTGAGACCAGTAGTAGGTTGAGTTAGTATTGGTAGTGGTAGTAGGGTGACCTTTGGAGGTTTCAAAATTTTCGAAAAATGGTGAATAAAAACTTGGGTCGGACAGGGCGGGGCTAGGGACTGATTTCCAGGTACTGGTTCCGATTTTTGAAATTTTTGTAGCCCCAGGTTATGTGTACCCCAGGTCAGCTAGGACAGTCCTCGAAACGGAAAAAATCAGGAGCTAGTCAAGCTATATTTGTGACGGGCCGGGCCTTGTCTCGTCCCGGTCTAAATTTTTGCCGGGAATTTCGAAAAAATATGAAAAAATAAGTTTCCGGGCTTCTAGGCCGAGATTTCACAAATATGAGCCAGGCCAGGCTAGGCCCCCGAGCCCAGGAGATGTATACCCCTTCGAATCCAACCCTATCTCCCCCCAAGAAATCGCAAAAACTGACGAGCAAGATGCGTCTCTAATTGAATATTTTAATTGACTTCTCCTTTTTGTCTTGCTCACTCGGTTTTCTTCGTAAAAAAATCGGGTGGTGGTGGTACCACAGGAAGAAATGTTTTGGTAAAATAGACAGACGAGTTTTTGAGCAAACTGATTGTGAATTGGAAAAAGGGAGAGAGGGGAAGAAAGCAACAAATCTGTGTGATTTTAATTGAATCGGTTGAGGGTTGGACGGGGAAAAAAAAGTTAGAAGAGATGGGGGAGGAAGGAAGGAATGGAAGGGAGGGGAGATAGGAAATATATAGATTTGTGTGGAGCAGAAATTGGTTGGAATGGAATGTTAGAAGGATGGTTTTGAAGAAAAAGAAAGAGTTGAGGTATCACGGAATTCGAAGAAAGAAGGCAACTGGAATTTATAAAAAGAGCTAACTTTGATTCCGTGAAGAATGACGAAACCTCTAACAAAATAGTCAGTTGCCTTAAAGAAAATTGGAACTCCATTTTAATGGTGACCGGATCGAGAACTGGAAAGTGACCGCCGCCAATACCCAACTTTTCTGAGCTCAGCCCGATTTATGAATAAAAACATGAAGAAGGGATGCTTCAGACCATTTTTAAGGTGTAGGTGCCCTACTTATACGGGATCCATTAGTTCAGAATTTTGTAAACTCTGGCCAAAGTTAATCAAAAAATTAGCAAAAAAAACGAGCCAAAACTTTCCTATAATTGTTTGATCCAAGCATTTTTTGATCATTAGATGAATCGATGAATTTCGATTGTGCTTCAAAATTCTCTAGTTCTATCGGGTGGACGATCTGAATGCTCTTGTATTAGAAGTAATTTAAAGCGAAAGTTGCTTAACATAGCAACAGAACGGCTCAGAAAACTTTTTGAAGGTCAAGATGCGGCAGTTTCATAAGTAGAAACTGAAAAACGCCGCAGAGCCGACGGGTGTTCCCGGCGCGTAGCTCAGTGGCTGGCTTGTTCGACTGATCATGGGATCCAACTCACCAGAGGCATCTTATTTTCAAAATAAGTGTTTTTGAGCTCGGCCGTTCCTTTAAAATCATGAAACTTCAAAAATAGCTCAACCTGGATTCTTCTCCAGAATCCGAACTCCGGAATAAATCAGAATCCCAAATC